TAACTGTATTAACTAATCAACATACAATCCAGTAAACAGTTTATTTGGTGAACAAACAATATACGGCTTCATGAACATACAATACTTACAACAGTTTCTTTATTGAACACATGGTATGCTAAAATGCTGGTGGAGATTTAGTTCAAATTAAAATGTCAGATGATACCAAAAATGGACTCATTTGAATAAAGTTTGTTCATTCTCAACACATTACAACACTAATCTGCTTGAGAGAACTAAGTAGTAATCAAGTCTGCATGGAAACAACCACAGACCTTTCATAAATCAACATTAATCATAGCAGCAGTTTAATCAATGAACGTACAAGTAAACCGTTTACTTAATGAACTACAGTAAACAGCTTCATTAATACAAGTATTGTAAATGGTTTTATTATTGAACATACAATAAATATTTTAATTATAGGACTTAAAGTAAACAATTTAATTAATGTACATACAATAAAAAGTTTAATTAGTGAACATATATTTTAACCCTTTTGCCCCGTAAAAACCGTAAAAACCGTAACCCATAGTTATAATTCTCTGAAATTCCACCCTAAGAAACTAAGAGAAGCAGAAGAACTTTAGAGTCTTGGTCAGTTTTTATAAAACTCGTGTGGCAGGCAGTTTCAAATCTATGACCACCAAGTCGACAGGCAAGCCTGCTAGCTACTGCATCGTCGTGGCCCAGCGCTTAAAAACATGGAGTGTTCATATTTAGAAACATTATTTTGCGCAGAGAACTGAAAAAAAAAATTAAGGTAGGTAACCACTAAATACCAAATAACTAAATGCTTTCCTTCCCTTTGACCAAGGAAACAAGGGTTTTGTCGACAACGCCACAAACGACACTGTGAGAGCATCATAGGCATATTATGTTGTCACAATGACCCTCCAAAACTTGGATTTGATCACCCCAGTAATGTCTCAAACCTTTGTTTGTTTGTTTTGTTTTTGTAAATATAATCAGATATACCACGTCTAGACACTATGTAGATGCAACTAGGGCCACTAGGATTTAGAGGTATACCGACCACTTACCATAGACTGTGTGTCATCAAAATACTGTTAAAGTCGGAAAACCAGCTTTTCAAGGGGACAGGATTAACTTTTTCAGTGCTGGAAGGATGTAAGTGAACATTGTCTATCCTAAAGATTTTTACTTTAGAGCAGGAAACTGTTACTGTGATGCTGTTAAAGTAATAGAAAGATATGTGCTAAAACAGACAACTTAACAGATACGTGGGACCATAAGTTCAGAAATGGACAACATAACAGATACATGGGACATTAGAAGTTCATAAATGGACAACACAATGGAAACATGGGACACAAGAAGTTCAGAAACTGACAACATAACAGATAGGTGGGACATAAGAAGCTTAGAAATGGACAACATAACTGATTTTTGGGACATAAGAAGTTCAGAAATTGGCAGCATAACAGATACATAGGACATAAGAAGTTCAGAAATAGGCAGCATAACAGATACATAGGACATAAGAAGTTCAGAATCGGACAACATAATTGATATATGTTACATAATAAGTTCAGAAACGGACAACAAAACAGATACGTGGGCCATAAGAAGTTCAGAAATGGACAACATAACAGATAGGTGGGACATAAAAAGTTTAGAAATGGACAACATAACAGATAGGTGGGACATAAAAAGTTTAGAAATGGACAACATAACAGATAGGTGGGACATAATAAGCTTAGGAATGGACAACATAACAGATAGGTGGGACATAAAAAGTTTAGAAATGGACAACATAACAGATAGGTGGGACATAATAAGCTTAGGAATGGACAACACAACAGATAGGTGGGACATAAGAAGTTCAGAAATGGACAACATAACAGATACATGGGACATAAGAAGTTCAGAAATGAAGAACATAACAGATACGTGGGACATAAGAAGTTCATAAATGAACAACATAACAGATACGTGGGACATAAGAAGTTCAGAAATGGACAACATTACAGATACGTGGGGCATAAGAAGTTCAGAAACGGACAACATAACTAATACGTGGGACATAAGAAGTTCAGAAATGGACAATATAACAGATACATGGGACATAAGAAATTCAGAAATGGGCAGCATAACAGATACATGGGACATAAGAAGTTCAGAAATGGACAACATAACAGATACATGAGACATAAGTTCAGAAATGGACAACATAACAGATATGTGGGACATAAGAAGTTCAGAAATGTGCAACATAATTGATACATGTTAGATTATAAGTTCAGAAATGGACAACATAACAGATATGTGGGACATAAGAAGTTCAGAAATGGACAACATAACAGATACGTGGGACATAAGAAGTTCAGAAATGAACAACATAACAGATACGTGGGACATAAGAAGTTCAGAAATAGACAACATAACAGATACGTGGGACATAAGAAGTTCAGAAATGGACAACATAACAGATACGTGGGACATAAGAAGTTCAGAAATGGAGAACATAACAGATACGTGGGACATAAGAAGTTCAGAAATGGACAAAGATTGGTTTAGAAAGATGAATCGTGTACAGAGCAACAAGTAAAATGTTTGATAAGTGGATTGGATTGCTAAGGACAGATTTAATAAAGGTATAGTAGTAAACAGTTAATGAATAAACATACAGTAAATGTTAATTAACAAACAAAACATAAACAGTTAATTAATTAACATACATGTAAACAGTTTAACAAATGAATGTATTGTATACTGAGAGGTTCGGTGGAGATTTTGTGAAAAAAAAAAGATTAAACTTAATTGAAAGCTTTTCAAATAGACTGTCTGTCCTGTCTACAGCCTGGCAACAGCTGTCATCATTACGTATATCTGTCACATTAAGTATGGTGACAGTTGACTACTCAGTTCAAACTAGCTGTCCCTAAAGACATAAAACAATATTTACAAAATAAAATCTTTATACAATATACATACACATTCTCTTCACAGAGAACCTTGTGGTTCAGTCCGTCATATTCAATTGATCAGTCAGCTAGTCCTGCTTTCTTCACAGCACGATTGAAAGTCTCTTTCTCTAGCCAATTCTCCAGCCCTATGTGCTTTCATAGCCAAACTATCTTCGGTGTCCTGTATTCACCTTCACAGAGGTCAGCCTCTGCATCCTTTTCAGGAAACTGCAACCTCCATAACTGTTTTCTCCAGACCACCCCGGGGCTTGACATGTCCAAAAAACCTCAGGAGATTATACTTTTTACCAGCCAGTTGTCCTGGATGTTCAGGTCGTGCGGGATGTGGACGTTCTTTCTTTCTTCTTGGTCCACGGCATTCTAAGAATTGTTCTGTAGCATTTTAGCTCAAATTTCATATTACATCCTTGATATTATTCGTCCCACCACGTAAGAACACAAGTGTCCCCTTCAGAGCAAACCACTATGCCATTATCGAATTAAAGAACAATGTAGCTCAATGCTTCACTTCATTATTTGGCTGCACCCGATTGTTCGTTTCAGAGCAAATATCTATACCATTATAAGCTTATTGAAAAATATGGTTAAATGATTTGTTTGATCTCTTTTTATACTGTCGCTCAAGTAATTTATTTGACAACATAATAATGAATACAACTGGTGCCATCACAACAGACAACGGTACAATCACCTTCAAACAGAACAATGTATATCAGCCACGGACTACAACATTATCTGCACAGTTTATGTGACCGCATAAGAATGAACCCAACTGGCCATTTCACAGCAAACAACTAAACTGCCAACATGGCTATTTGTAGCTGTAAAGCTGGCATGTTTGTTCTCTCTGTGTTCAACAGTTCAAACAGTAACCTATAAAACAGAAGCAGATCAGCAGGGCACTGCAATAAAATGTCTAAACTGGCATATTCTCAATAAACTACCATAGCTAAATTCTCAGAATTTTGTGGCTAAAGATCACAAGTGACAAATATCTTACAATCAGCAATTAAGTAGAGATGGCCTATTGTAAAACGCAAGTGCTGAAACTGGTAAAATACATGTGGCAAACTGTGACCAAAATCTAAGAGGGAACACAAATAAGGTCATAAGTGTCAAAGCTGGGAATCTAGGGAAATAATAGAAAGAAATGTCAAAAGAAAAATGTCTACATCTGCGAAAACTGAAGACAAAGAAGAGAGAAAATGTTCGATCGAAAATAACTTGGTACACAGCTGTAAAAGATGATAAATATTGGGGGACAAAGGCAACAGCACTTATCTGAAAGTTGAGAACAGGTTAGCTGGCCTCGACAAACAACTGTGAAGGTTGAGACAAAGGTCATCTAAGGTTAGCTGGGCCGGACAAACAACTGTGAAGGTTGAGACAAAGGTCATCTAAGGTTAGCTGGGCCGGACAAACAACTGTTAAGGTTGAGACAAAGGTCATCTAAGGTTACTTGCCTCAACAAACAACTGTGAATGTTGAAACACGGGCCACCTAAAGTTCCCTGGGCTCAATAACTGTGAAGCTGCAGTCACAAAAGATGGAACAGATTTCAGGAGGGAGATTTACAAAGTCTCTCCCCAACATGCCAGGACTAAGCTGAAGATTGCCACAGGCATATGGCCGGGTGACAGGATCCCCCTGGTCTGGTACTAATCCACTGGAAGCACAACAGATCTCACGTTTCAACTTAAATCCAATGTCATTTTATCTCACGTTTCAACTTAAATCTAATGTCATTTTCATGAAAAATGTTGACTCATAAAGATGCCAAACGGTTCAGATACCAACCTCTCACATGTGGAGTTACATTATTGTTCCCCTGGTGAGGCAGATGGCTGTTCTATCAGAAGCACAGCTAGAAAAACTTGGTCTGCATGAGGCAACAGCACAGGAAAGGGAGCTTTTTTTAAATCTCGGCTCTCTAAAACCTCCATGCTGACACCAGTAATAGTTTTCACAAATGCTGTAATGATAATTATTTTCAAAGACAAGATCATCTCTCATCAGTTCTCTTAAACCAAAAAAATAAATAATTACTGTCTATAAATGGCCACTAAAATTGCAGGAACTGTTCCCTGAGCTACTTCTGCTGCTGCCATCGAGAAATCTGGGAGAGAGCTTCTCCATCTTCTCCACGTGATGCCCGCTTGTGGACTTGAGCAGACTGTACAAGTTCTTTTTAACTCGAAGAAGTGTTAGCCGGACTTTGGGGTTGTGCGACCAGCAGCCAGACGTTAGTTTAGCAACTTCACACATGAGCTGGCAGGAGAAACATGGCGAGACATTATAGTTAGTATTGTGTTTCACAAGAGACACAAAAACATTCAAGAATTCACTACACCCTGTTTTATCTCGATGGTGATTTCACACGATTTCAGTATCTGATGCAATGAAACAGCTAATTGCAACACATAATACCACTAATAATAAAGTAGGTAACGGTGGCTTGAGTCAGACAGATGATAGTGGGGGTATGAGGCGGACTGCATTATGGTGGGACTGAGGCTGGTAGTGATAAAAGTAAGCCTCAGGTGATAGAACTGAGTCATAGTGGGAGAAGAGGCTGACTGCACAATGGTAGGACTGAGGCTGGTAGTGATAAAAGTAAGCCTCAGGTGATAGAACTGAGTCATAGTGGGAGAAATGGGTTATATGGTAGAAAGAAGGCTGACTGGTGAGAATGAGGCTGACTGATGGTGAGAATGAGGCTGACTGGTGAGAATGAGGCTGACTGGTGAGAATGAGGCTGACTGGTGAGAATGAGGCTGCTTGGTGAGAATGAGGCTGACTGGTGAGAATGAGGCTGACTGGTGAGAATGAGGCTGAGGGTGAGAATGAGGCTGACTGGTGAGAATGAGGTTGACTGGTGAGAATGAGGCTGACTGATGGTGAGAATGAGGCTGACTGGTGAGAATAAGGCTGACTGGTGAGAATGAGGCTGACTTGTGAGAATGAGGCTGACTGATGGTGAGAATGAGGCAAACCTTGATGGAAACAGTGAGGTTAACAATGTTATGAGCTATGCTATGGGGTGGACTAAAGTTAAAGTAGAAACAGGTGACAATGGTGAAAACTTACATGAATAATAACAACTGACTGACAAGCATCTGCAACCTTCTGGCAGGCGGCTAACCGCTCTGCCGAGGGACACAATGAGGTCACTCATCTCAAATTTAACTATCAAGTGCACTTGAAAACTATCCATCAGAATTTAAAAAATTATGAAAGCACACTATAACTGAAAACAGTTTAATTTAAAATGTGGCTATACAGTTCAACAAGCTAGACAACAAACACGCCATGTAATTTGTCAACTACAATGTTACCATTAAAAAAAAAAAAAAAACAGGAACAAAACTATCAAAATAGAGCTAATTTCTCAAGTTTTTTTAGTCCCATCTACATTAAATTATTTTCAGTCTTAGTATAAGAGAAGCCAACCCCATTAGTAACATTAAACCAAACATACGCAGTGACAGAAATGTGAAACAGTGAACTCACTGGATCTTGGGACCATCTGTTGGGAATAGGCGGTCTCTGTTTCTCAAGGACTACAACTCTTTTCATGTCTTCAAAACTTGGGTCTGCAGGCACTAGATCCCAAAATGGAATTCGGTACTCCTCGGCAAATGCTGAGATAAAGAAACAGACATGGTATACAAAACAATGATCAACAAGTTATAAATGCACCTGGCAGTGGCTGTGACCTGGTCAACTTGGTGGACCCTACCAGTAGCTATGCTACCTCTAACACAATCTTCTGCTTGGTGCCGCTAGCAGTCACAGGATGGGCTTCTGAGCTAGGGTACACTTGGTTTCCCACTATGCTGCGATGCTGCAGACTCTCAAGGTACCAGTGATTCCTTCAAACCATCTTCTTCAAGTCGTCTCCTACCTGCTGGAGTTTCTACTGTCATGTTCTACGCTCTCGTTGCTGGCATCACTGGGTTCATTCTCATTAAATAGCCAAACTATGTCAGTCTTTTTGATTATAGGTACTGTTCTAATAGTTCTTGAAATTTCTTCATTTTGCATACGATCTCTTCTAATTTTTAATCATGGCTTTTCTCAAACATCTCATTTTGCAGGTGCTATGTTTTACTTTCATGATATTTCTTCTTTTTCTTTTCTCTACTCCTGGAATGCATCAGGGCAGGAAGATATCTCTGGAACGGGCCCTTCTGTTCGCTTCGTATAAAGTACTTTTCAGTATCTCTGATATTTCTGTGGTCCATCTTCTGCATGGTCGACCTCTGGGTTTGTTACCGCTGTATCTGTATAACATTGCTCTCTGTGGTGCCCTGTCTGATGCCAGTCTTATTACATGGCCAAACCATTTGACTTGTTTACCCATAAAGTTCAGTATTGGTTCTATGCCGACTCTCCTCCTGATATCATCGTTCCTAAGTCGATCTTTCCTCATTACATCTAGCATAGTATATAAACATTTCATTTCTGTCGTGACTATTTTCCTTCTGTCTTCTGAAGACAGTGTCCATGTTTGACATTGAGAGCATAGAGGTGGTCAGAACATGATGCTGAACAGTGTTCTGTTAGTGTTCATATTCACATGCTTGCATTTCAAAATTGGTGCTATCTGACCTAAAACTCGATTGGCTTTATTGCATCTTTGCTGAATTTCTTTATTAATTTCTGGAAAAAAAAATGTGGAAAAATGCTCACCTCATATGTAAAATCTTTCCCCTGCTTTAATTAGTGTTTAACAATTTTGATACTGGTGGTCCCTCCTTTTCTGGAGAATTATCATTTCTGTTTTGTCTACATTGATCTTCATATATCATTGTTGTTGCATTCTGAGTGGAGTCATTAATATGTCCTTGTAGTTGTACCGCTGTTGGTGCTATGACTGTCAAGGTCATCGGCAAAAAGCAATTCATTTAGTAATTCTCCGATGTCATCCCCCTCCCTGATGTTAGCTGATTTGCAAATGTGGTCGACGTATGTGATGAACAGTAGTGGGGACAAAACACACCCCTGTCTCACTCCAGATCTAATATAGAGCTCACATGTTATTTAGTCAAGGTTATCTAGTCAATTTCCAGGTCTGACACAAGGTTGTTATGAATATTGTATTCATCATTTTTTTTTTTTTTAATCTTGAGTGGAACGGCCAGGTGTTTCAAAACTGGGATCAATTGATAAGTGACACTGTTGGCTTGCTGGATTCTTGTTTCCATCTCTCTGTCTGTTCTGCCGCCATGTAAAGATGCTCTCCAAATATTTCAAGTGTTGAAAATGTTTTCAACTTTGATCTTTTATCTTAATCTTAAGTGCTTGATGTTCTCTTGCTAGACACATGACTTCTCACATTTTATTTCTTCTTCTTTTGTCAATATCTGCTTATGCCACTAGGCATCGCAGTTCATCAGATGATCGGCAGCCGAGAAAGGGTGCGCTCAGGCGCCTGATATGCCATGATGTTATGCAGTCTCAAGGTGTCAGTGACTCCTTCAATCCATCTCCTTCTCGGCCTTCCCCTGCCTCTTGGTGTTTCTATTTTCAGGTTGTACGCTCTTGCTGCTGGCATTGTTGGTTTCATTCTCATTAGATGGCCAAACCATTTCATTCTTTGTTTCTCAAAAAATTTGACAATGGGTGTTGCTCCAAAAGTTCTTGAGATCACGTGGTTTGCACTTAATCTCTTCTGGTTTTATTCACAGCCATTCTCAAACATCTCCTCACAGGTGGTCAGTTTTCTCTCGTGTTCTTTTATCGATGTCGAAGTCTGACACTGATAACCTAAAGGTTGTATAAATATTTTTTCTTTTTCTTTTACCAGAGATATAAAATTCAGGAAAACTATTAATTGTACTATTCACTTGTTGTGGCTCTCTGTACGTACACCTTGATCCGAACTGTGCATGGCTGTCAAGTGGCTCATAGCACATCCCATTTCAGCATTCAGGTCAGCAATCAATCTACATCTTCCCAGCCTTCTACAGGTCAATGTAGCAATCTCATTACTTCTGCTTCAGTTCTGAGCCTTTTGTCAGCGCACATATTCAAATGTTAGGTCGTCCAAAAGTAACCAAAATTTAGAATTAACAAGTTTAAAAGAATTACCCCCAAAAACTGTTTACAATTAATGTACACAATTTTTAAAAAAATATACAAATGCTTACGTCTTGCCCTTCTTGCTATCTCCCACAGCACCAGACCAAACGCGTACACATCCACACACTTGAAGGACTCGAATGATTCAGTGTTTAGAGTTTCGGCAAGAACTTCGGGGGCCATGTAGCGCTTTGTGCCCACCAGCTGGAAGAGACAGGAACAATCTTGCAGATCACAGCAGACGTCACAATACATTATACAAGATGTTTTACATCATATACTTTAGCTCCCCGGCTGTGCGAGTTCTGGGGTCTCACTTGGGGTGGGCTGGGGGGTAATAAACCGACTGCCTCAACAAGCATGTCATAAGAAGCAACTAATCAAGGCTTTGCAGAAATCGGATATGTTGGGTGAAAGGTGCAGTTATGGCAGCCTCGCTGAAATACAAGATGCCAACAACCATATCAAGAGCAAACCACAGAGGAAAACGAAAATACTCAGTAGCTGTCAGAAAAAAGATGCAATCTATTTTAATAAAGTATTCCCTGAGTGGCTGAGTTAATGAATGAGTGAGTAAATGAGACAGATGAGAGGAAGACACGAGCAAAACCATTCGAAAGAGAGTGAAGGCAGAATGAGACAGAAGGGGTGGCGGGGGACCAAAGACAGAAAGAAAAAGTCAGAAGGAAGCAAGCATTAAAAAAAAAAAAAAAGGATACAAAAAAGTATTTAAAAAATAAAAAGTAGGGGGAAAAAAAGCATAATACTGACCAGTCGACCAGCCTCTGTATCCGAGGTTAGATGACTGTTCCTGACAGCATGGCCAAGGTCACCAATACAACACTGTCCATTGTCCTTGACCAGGATATTTTTGGATTTGATGTCTCTGAGGATGCAGACAAGAAAAACAGTCAAAACAAAATAAGGATGTTTATAACTCATTAAATCTATATTGAGGATGTCAAGAACAGTAGCTCGGTAAATCTAAAGTGAGGATATCAAGAACAATAGCTCGGTAAATCTATAGTGAGGATATTAAGAACAGAAGCTCAGTAAATCTACAGTGAAGGCATCAAGAAAAGTAACTCAGTAAGTATATATTGGGGATATCAAGAACAGTAGCTCAGTAAATCTATACTGCAGATATCAAGAACAGTAACCTAGTAAATATATATATTTAAGATATCAAGAACAGTAGCCCAGTAAATATATATTTAGGATATCAAGAACAGTAACTCAGTAATATATATTTAGGATATCAAGAACAGTAACCCAGTAAATATATATTTAGGATATTAAGAACAGTAACCCAGTAAATATATATTTAGGATATCAAGAACAGTAGCCCAGTAAAAATATATTTAGGATATCAAGAACAGTCATAGAGGATGATTTAGATTGACTTGTTAGCAATATAAATCTTTTAAAACTGCTGCACTCAAGAATTGAAGTCGTGATTACGATTACCACAACAACTAATGCATGTTTGTTACCACAGGGAGCATGTTTGTTACCACAGGGAGCATGTTTGTTACCACAGGGAGGATGTGTGTTACCACAGGGAGGATGTGTGTTACCACAGGGAGGATGTGTAAGAGTTATATATCACATGTAGGATGAACAGAGAAAGTGTGTGGTTACCTATGAGCAATCGCTGGCTTCTCGTGTTTGCCTGTTCCCTCTTTGATCTCCGTGTGCAGATGTGCCAGGCCTGCAGCCGCTGAATGAGCCAGCAGCAGCATCTCCTCAATGTCAATATCACTTTGCTGCAAGCACAAGAATCACTTTCTAATTACTCCATTTTAGTTTTTAATTTTACTATGCAAATAACAACAATAATAATTCACCTCTTTGCCAGATGCCCCAATGATCACGTCCCTCCCTAAATCTCAGTCCTTCATGTTCTGAATCAATACTGCTCATGATGTTCCCCCATACCACTATCTTACAATTCTTCTTTTTGTGACTGCTTCCTTGATTTTCAGACAGACAAGTCCTCGTGATAAAACTCATCATATCTGAAGGTGCATTCATTCATATAGTGAGTCGTGTAAGGCTGTGTTGTTGTATCTGCCTTCTGACCCATACTGCAAACTTTAGGATCTCTCCAAAGGGCAAGGAAGCTCATGTCTTCACCATTATCTTGTTTGTTCTCCTATCCAGTTTCCTGCTGGGGTTTGAGATCCCAACCTTTCAAAGGACTGCATGGGAGAACATGAATCCAACTCGTGAAGGTGAAGTAGGCTTGCACAAGAGAGGCTAATAGACATTAAAAGACTAGTACTGTGCATAACTGCTCCATTAGAACCCTTTCTTATCTGATCTAACACCATTTCTCTGGTGTCTGTCTCAGCTTTTTCTACCACTAAATTCCCCACACATCAGAGTCCCTCACATGCTGATAAGAAGAACCATTTCTTGAGTCCTTGGTGAGTTTTCCTTATCAGAACTGCAGTGTACTGTCCTCAGCTTTTTTTTAGGCAACAGCTCTTAGTTACTCTAGACATCTGAGGAATTAACAGCATTCAACTCAGCGAACCACATATCTCCACGGCCTCAGAGATGTTTCAATGTGTTCATTCACATTCCCAGATTTACTGCCATCAAACAAAACCAGTTTCACATAACCTGTCAGTACTTGCTTACATGTCTGGATGTAACCTTAGAATGATTTAATACGACCGTAAACATCTAAATATAATCACATCAGCCAATATGATCAGATCATTTTACGATTGTAAATACCTGAAGATAATCGTATAATGAGCCGTTACGATGATATTGCAAGATAAGCCAGTTCTGCGTGCAGGAGAGTATGCCCACAGTGTCAGAAGCGTAGTAGCCGAGAATGTTCTCATGATGCAACATTCCTGTGTTATAAATATCTGTCTCCTGCTTCCAGCTGATCTCATCCAGCGACGAGAACGTCTTCACGGCAACATCCTCATCCAGCCACTTTCCTCGCCACACTTCTCCAAATCTGCCTTTGCCTAAAAACAATATCGTTCAATTATGTTAAACTTACTTCTGCATGATCAAGCAAAGCATGGCTGTGCATAATGGTTTAAAAAAAAAAACAAAAAAAAAACAATAGAAGATTCTAACATGTAGCAACATCATAAACAGTAGTTTTGTGTGCGTTTATTTCCCCCATAAAGTGGAATTTTTGTGTGTGTGTTTATTTTCCCCCATAAATCGTGGAGTTTTGTGTGTGTGCGTTTATTTCCCCCATAAACAGTGGAGTTTTGTGTGTGCATTTATTATCCCCCATAGCCAGTGGAGTTTTTGTGTGTGTGCATTTATTTCCCCCATAAACTGTGGACTTTTGTGTCTGTGGGTTTATTTCCCCCATAAACAGTGGAGTTTTGTGTGTATGCATTTATTTCCACCATAAACAGTGGAGTTTTGTGTGTGTGCGTTTATTTCCCCCATAAACAGTGGAGTTTTGTGTGTGTGCGTTTATTTCCCCCATAAACTGTGGACTTTTGTGTCTGTGGGTTTATTTCCCCCATAAACAGTGGAGTTTGTGTGTGTGCGTTTATTTCCCCCATAAACAGTGGAGTTTGTGTGTGTGCGTTTATTTCCCCCATAAACAGTGTAGTTTTGTGTGTGAGCGTTTATTTCCCCCCCAGCGACTGAAGCCTGACACCCAGTGATTTCAAGTGCCTCAATATTTTGATAGAATGTCAACTGTTGAATTTTTTTGTACTTGATGATTCTCAAATTTAAGTTACTGTTTATATAGAGATGCATATAAACTATTATATACAATATCTGGATAAACAAAGCTGGAAAAAACCAGAATACAGCCAAAAACATTACTTCTCCACAGTCAAGGCATGAGCTTACCAAGTTAACAAATAGAGACAGAGAGAATTTCATTAACATAATTATACAAACTTGCCAAGTACAAAATTCAAGAAAACAAAGAAACAGATAATTTCACAAACCCAATCACTCAATCTTACAGAGTACAAAAATAAAGGAAACAGACTTTCAAAAACACAATCATTCAATCTTACAGAGTACAAAAATAAGAAAACAGAGACTTTCACAAACACAATCACTCAATCTTAAAGAGTAAAAAAATAAAGAAACAGAGACTTTCACAAACACAATCACTCAATCTTACAGAGTACAAAAATAAGAAAACAGAGACTTTCACAAACACAATCACTCAATCTTACCGAGCACAAAAATAAAGAAACAGAGACTTTCACAAACACAATCATTCAATCTTACCGAGCACAAAAATAAAGAAACAGAGACTTTCACAAACACAATCATTCAATCTTACCGAGCACAAAAATAAAGAAACAGAGACTTTCACAAACACAATCATTCAATCTTACCGAGCACAAAAATAAAGAAACAGAGACTTTCACAAACACAATCATTCAATCTTACCGAGCACAAAAATAAAGAAACAGAGACTTTCACAAACACAATCATTCAATCTTACCAAGCACAAAAATAAAGAAACAGAGACTTTCACAAACACAATCACACAAACTTACAGAGCACAAAAATAAAGAAACAGAGACTTTCACAAACACAATCATTCAATCTTACCGAGCACAAAAATAAAGAAACAGAGACTTTCACCAACACAATCACACAAACTTACCGATCCTTTCAAGGAGGGTGACCTGCTTCCCGACAGTCCGTGGAACTAAAGTTGGCTGGCCTGACCCACTACCCGATGACCACTGATCCTAAAGCCAAATGTAATCACCAATAATGTCTATGAATCATTAATTAAAAAACCCCAAATCAATCAATCAATTAATTAATCAGGTGCTATCTCCATAGCAAAAGTTGGATCCTCAACATGTTGTCTTTCACCCTGCATGTACACTCTCCTAGATTGCTGTTTATCCACCTCTTGAGGTTATCCTCCCACTTTTTTAATTGTTCCCTCCAGTAAGGTTTTTTTTTTTTTTTTTACAAAAGTGTTGGGCCTTTTAATATGACTTAAAAATATCATTTGTCTCTCAATTTGTCTCTGTAATTTCCTCCACTCTCTTTTATTCAGAACCTCAATCTTAAATTGCTTTTGTTTCCATTAAATATGACAAACTACAAACCGGGAACAGTTATTACCCTGCTATAAAATTTATAAAATCAAGAAAATGACTGTACTATTTACTGAAGCAACTTAAAACATTAGAAAAGACTTCAGAGCTGCAGAAACGATTTGTGAAAATAAATCAACCTGAACTGTTCTGTTTGTCCACAAAAATTTAAAAAATTGAGCACTCCAACCTGCCAGCCCCGTAGTCATGGGTTCAAACTTACAACTGACATAGGCTCCCAGGTAGATCCAGCTGAACATAGGTACTATGAAATGTCCTGATAGAGTGGCAGGGGGGGCCTGAATGACGTTGTCCACACGCCTGTGTGGGTTCTGGGACCGAAGTTATGGGCGGGGAAAAAGGGAAAAAGACCCAATGCTTTCCTAACAAACGTAACAGTAGACTAATTAGGGGTGTTTCTTTTTCGATTGGAGCGCATCTACCTGACAGGTGAGGAACCAACAGTCTGCACACAAATAAGCCAGATTTGTCAAATGGATGTGCAATCAACACTCAGGTTCTGGAACAAGACTAATATTAAATCTATGTACAAATAATTAATGTACATAATGTGAAAAATATATTATATGAACTCTACTGCACCAGTCCCATAAGCTTTTAGATACTACCAATGTAGTTATCTTTCTGTCTTAACTTTTTTTTTTGGGGGGGGGGGGGGGGGGGGGGGGGTAAATTGCACAGGTTACAAGTCGAGGAGAAAATGTCAAAAGTTTATTCATCATCTTCGTGACAATATGTCTTTATACTTAAGTCTCTGTGTGAGTTTCACAGCCTAATTTCTTTTTAAGGAAGAAAAAACAGACCCATTGCCCTCTAACAAGCATGTAACAATGGGCAATCTAATTAGGTTGTTCAGCCAACAGATATGGCAGCCTAGTTGTAAACCACATCGAGTCAACCACCCTTTAGAGGGCAAACTCAGAAGAAGATTGACCAAACAGCCCTACCTGTTTTGAGCCATCATGGAAGCTGCGGTACAAGCTGTCGTCATCAAGTAGTTTGACCTCTGGGGTCAGCAACAGCCTATCTGACTTCTGTCTTCGAATGTGTCTGTGTAGCAGGTAAACTGAGGCCACGATGATCACGCAGGCTGACAATGCAACTGATGCTGTGATCAACAGTGTCAGCATCAAACTTGGGTTGTCTGAGAGGGGAAAAAACAAATAAATACTGAATATCTTACAGAACCTCTTCTTCTTCAGCACTCCAAGTCTTTGAGGTTCATTGATGCAGATATCACCTGCTTTTTCAGCTGGTAACTCCAAGTGTTAGTCTATCTGCATGTATATTATCTCTTTATCATCTTACTGGTCTGCCTTGTCATCTACTCGTATTAACCCACTGCAAAGAGAAGCCCCAGACCAGGCATTTCCATCCAGGGCTTTTTTCTGTAACTACCAAGTACTTGGCTTTTTCAAGTGGCTTGTCCTCGAGAAGTCTAGTTAAACACCACTGGTTCTGTTTGCACCTGTGCAATGTTTAGGAGGCTCAGTTATCAATATCATTAATACAAATAGCTGTCCTGTGAATCTTGTTGAATTTTTCTGTCCTTTATCCTCAAATACAGCTCAAGCCTCAACAAACTCAAGCTAGGTCATCCTAAATTGATGTCAATCAGATGGCTTTATAAATCCATTCTGACATCATAGGTTTCCCCACAGCCTCTGTGTTTGAGGTCACAGCATGAGTCACCTGACATATATATTTTAGGCCCCAGGAAATGTATTCAATTTAATGATTTACTAGGTTTATGTTTTACTGATTACTCCTCTAATATTTTGGGAGGAGATGGTTGCAGATAATTGTATAAAATTTTTTATTTATTAGTAACCTGGGTTAATTGGTTGTTTTAAACAGTATGTTTTCTCCCTCTGTGTGTTCTGGTGCCCCATTCTGGGGGAAAAAATTTAGACCAGCTGCCTCCCCAATAAGCATATGGTAGGTGTTAACTAGCTGGAGGTATCCCCTTCATGGTGGAGTACATCTGCATGAGAGGCAACGAACCAAGAGTCTGGATAAAAATAAGCCAGATATGTGATATTCTTCTTTCGTTCGCATGAAATAAATTTCTATATCTGCAATGCTGTCTCTAGTATGAATTTCACTGTCTTTTGTAATTCACTAAGCGGCCTGTAAAGTTTGACTTCCACAAGTGTCTCTTTTGGCCTAACGTTTTGCCTGAAAGCGCTGAATCTGGGACAGTCTTGAAGGATGTGATCTGTTGTTTCAGGTGCCAGTCCACAAATACACATGGCTGATTGGCCAATCTTAAATTTGTTGTACATGTGGCAGCGAAGTCGATTGTGCCCTGTTCTAAGGCGAAGGATAATGACTTGCTCTGGTCTGTCCATAATATGGTAATCGTCTTGTGCCAGTTTCGGTGGCATTCTGATTGATTTGATCATTCTCTTTTTCTGTTGATAAGAGACTGGTATGTCAGGTTGTTCTTCAGTTGCACCTTCCTTAGCCAGTTTATCAGCTCTTTCGTTTCCGGGAACTCCACAGTGGGAAGGTATCCACTGCATTACTAAATTACAACGGTTGCCTAGTTCGGATAATAGTGTCCGTATGCTTGGTAATTTTCCAGACTGGAGTGACTGAAGTACCGCTTTTGCATCTGTCAGGAATACTACTGGTTGTGAAAAATACCCTGTATTTAGTAGTTTCTCTGCCGCTATCTTGATGGCTTGAACTTCTGCATTATAGTTGTGACAGTGCTTTCCTGTTGGTATTTTGGCTGTATCCCTGGTATTATTAGGATACTCAATGTACACTCCTGCACCTCCGTTTCTGACTGCACTTTCTGCTGACCCATCTGTGTACCCATCTGTGTAAACACAGACCCAAAGATTATGTGGGTATTCATCATCAAGTAGACTTAGGGTGGCTGTTTTGCGCTGCACACTGTTTTGTTCTTCCTTGTCAAATACCCCTTTCACTTCAGTCTTGATGTGTATTGGAAACTTATACTCCTCTCTCCAGGGGGTCCGTTCTGGGACAGCATTTAAGGATCTATCAGTTGCAGGTAAATCAGTGGTTTGTCTGCCGAGCCGTTTGGCCTGGTGGATAAAACTACTTTTCTTTAGTCGTCCCAAAGCTAAATTTTGGAATCTTTCATTCATGGGGTGACTGGGCATACTAAGAAACTTTTCTGCTTGTAAAAACATCTTGGTGTCTCTGCGTTCACTCAGTGCTTGGGTCATCCCCATTTTCTTCATCACAGCTATAGGTGTTGATTTCATACTGCCTGTGGTAACTCTGAGTGCTTGATTTTACACTTTGTCTAATTCTTGCAATGTGGTTTTTGATGCCGAACTCCATGCTGTTGATCCGTATTCAAGATGTGGTCGAACACTTTGTTGGTAAACTTTTCTAAGTATTTTCCCGCTAGCACCCCATGTGGTTCCACTTAGTTTTCTCAGAATGGCTACCCTCCTTCTGGCTTTAGTTTTTGCCCTGTTGATGTGTTTTCTCCATGTTAACCTATCATCAAACGTTACTCCGAGGTATGTGGGCTCCTTATCCTCTCTCATGGGTACTCCATTTATGTGTATGACGCCTGATTTTTGTTTAGGAGAAAGGGTAAAGAGGGTGGTGCTGCATTTGCCTATGTTGATGCTGACACACCATTTGTCGGCCCATTTAGCAATTGCAAATATGGCTCTTTGTAGCAGTCTGGTGGCCACTGTTGCATGTTCATTTGTACACCAGAGTACCAAGTCATCAGCATACATTGCAGCTTTAATTCCATGGGGTAGTTCAGAAAGAAGGTCATTGATATAGACTAGGAAGAGTGTGGGGGAAGGACACCTCCTTGTGGTACGCCATGGCGCAGCAAAACTTCCTTACTCTTAAGTCCATCTATCTGTACTCGGGATCTTCTGTTATACAAGTATGCTTTCACCCATTTGTACATACTCCCATTCACCCTGCAGTCTCTTAGTTTCTTTAGTAGACCTTCTTTCCAGAACTTGTCAAAGGCTTTCTTCAGATCTATACATGCCATTAACACTAGCTTCTTTTCCTGGAAGACATCCTCAATTTCTTGTGAAAGGTAAGTTGTCTGGTCTTCTGTGGAGTAGCACTGTCTAAATCCTGCCTGCTGCGGCATGAAAATGTTTTCACTTTCCAAGTACCATTGGAGTCTAAGGTTGACAATAGGTTCCATTGTTTTACAGAGGCAGCTGGTAAGACTGATCGGTCTATAGCTGGAGGCATCAGAACTGTCCTTTCCTGGTTTAAGCAGAGGTATTGTAATTGCTTCTCTCCATATCTGAGGAACTTTGCCACTGGTCCAACAATGATTAAAGATCTGTAGCAGCTTTATTTTGGCAGTTGTTCCAATGTTCTAGATCATTTTGTTGGTGATTCCATCAGTTCCAGGTGATTTTCCCATTCTCAGCTTTGATATTGCTAATTCTAACTCGCTGGATGTAAATGCTGCCACCAGTGCCTCAGGAATTATATCTTTTTGTCTTGTACGTTGTTTGTTTTCTTGAGCCTCTCGCTGTTTCTCTGGGCTGACATTAATGTTGCTGTCTTCTGCAAAGTGGTCAGCTGCCTGTTTTCTTGTTAGGATGGCTCCCTCTTTGCATAGTGCAATATTACCATTTCTTCCTGTATTCTCATCATTAATTTGTTTAATAAACCTCCACAACTTCCTTGTGTCTCTTTCAAAGTTTAGAGACTTTGTCTTTTCCTTGCCAGCTTCTCCGTCTAGCCTGCAGTTTGGCTCTTTGGAATTTGGCCTTTGAATGTTGGTAGTTGTTGAACTGCTCCTGACAAGGTCTGGTCTCAGCTTGTTTTCTTTCTGTTTCCATATTGTTGTGCAGTTGTTCCAGATCGCAATTCCAGTACGGTTTATATTGTTTACGAGCACCTCTTGAAACTGCTTTTAAGGCTGCCTGCAGCATGCGTTTGTTCAACTCTTGGACTACTTTTTCTACGTCGTTATCTGTGTTCAGATTTTCCAGCAGAACATTTGTGTGAAGCTGATACAACTTCCAGTCTGCCTTCTTAAAATTCCACCTTGGCAGTGTGCTGCTCTCTCTTACAGACTGGCTTTCTATAGTTAGAAAGACTGGCCGGTGGTCACTGCCTCCTAGTTGCTTCCCAACAGTTCTGGTAACATTCAGTTCCATGTCTGGTGAGTGAAAGGCTAGGTCTGGTGTCGAGGTGGTATGCCATGCTCTAGAGTAGAAGGTTGGTGGGTCGGTTGGCTTATTAACGAGGATGAACCTATTCTCATCCTGCCAGTCCTCTAGTTTCTCTCCTCTCTGATCCATATGATCGTAGCCCCAGCTTTGGGAATGGCTATTGAAATCCCAGCAAATGATCATTTTTTCATTTACTAGTACTGTATCCAGTGCCTGAGGGCGGTCGCTCGGACAGTAATAGTTGGTCAGATGTAAATCTGTATTTTCTAACTTGAGCTCAAGAGTTTGATACTCAGCACCTTCCATGTATGTTTCGATCTGGCCCGCAAGGATGTTATTTTTGACCAGGGTAAGAATTCGACCTTTTCTCCTGTCTTTGAGGTCAGATCGGAAACACTGGTAGCCTCTGACCTTGAAGGAGATATCTTGTTTGAGATACGTCTCTTGAAGGCAGCATACATGTATATTCTCTTCGTTCAAGACGTTTTCTAATTCTAATTTCTTAGTATTTACTCCCTCCGCGTTCCAGTGCATTATTTTAAGACTAGCTGTATTTTCTGCTTTTCTGGTTCTACGGGGCATTAGGGGGAGGCTTCGAGTATTTGAAGCTAGACTCTTTCTTCTTGTCGTAGGCCGGTAAATCGAACCACGTGTACGTGAGTGGGTCGCATGGTGAGAATCAAACTTATTTGCAGATATAGAAATATTCCCTGTTGCGTTTGTGCGTGGCATCCTGATTGCTGTGGTGCGCCTCCTGGCTGGTTGCCTCCGAATTCAGCACCTTGTTTTGCTAGAGTAGACTGGGGTCTTACGCGTGGACTCCCATGTTTATAATGGGAGCGTGGCTCCTACGCGGTTACATTATCGATATTAGGACACGGCCGCCGCCGCGGCTATTTTGTGGAATTAATTTCATTATAACACCCCTAAACCACAGAATACCTGTATCCATGAACAAGAAAATATCTATCGTCAATGAATTAGTAATAATCGCACTCTGTTATCAAAAGAAAAACATTGATTGAGTGAAAATTTTTTAAAATTAAATCGTGTGTCGCCGCAAGCACGTCTTCACGCTGCCATTTCTAAACCGCGATATGTGATATGAATGTGCAAGCAACTCAGATTCTGGAATAAGACTAAAGTCTGGAGGTAGACGAACACCCAGGACTTGTCGCCGGAGTTTACAGCCGGTAAAAGCAAAGAAAGAAAAATACCTAACTGACTAAATGTCTCTGTGCTTAGTTGATTACCTCCCTCCCAACCAATTCAATGTATAATCTATGGAATACCCCATCGACTCAATGTGTGTGTGCTCAGTTGACTACAAATTTCTCACTAACTGAATCCATGTCTAATCTATGGAATACCCCATTGACTCAATGTGTGTGTGCTCAGTTGACTACAAATTTCTCACTAACTGAATCCATGTCTAATCTATGGAATACCTCATCGACTAAATGTATGTGTGCTTAGAGGATTAAAATACATTTCTGGCCAACTGACTATGGAGTATCTAAATGACTAAATGTATAAGTGTGTTTAACTGACTACAAATGTCTGGCTGATTATGCAACTGACTGAACAACTGAAAGGAAATGCTGGAGTGAAAGAAGGTAAAACAATATTCTCCTGTTGTAAATTTAAATAACATGGACAATACATTATAGTGATAGATTTGACAATGCCATGATAATCATGTGGCTAATTTTGAATTTCTAGCAGGAGCTGCAGTGAAACCAGAGACTGTGATTTGTGTATTTCAATGGAAAGGGTTCCGTTTTTGTGTCTCAATATATGTTGACGTTCCTTTTCAGTAATGCTGAAAAGATTCAGAAAAATATCATCATCATCATGTGCCTTGCCAACTGGCATAGGCGGTCATGTATCTTCATAGATCATGATCACTGGTTGCCTGGAACAGCTCTCTTGATGATATCCCTCTATGCCATCGTTTTAGCCCATCCAGCATCATCTCTCATGGTCTGCCTCTACCACTCTTTCTACTCGTCTTTCAAGTTTTCACATTGCTTTTCAATGCCTCTCTTCTCAATACGTGGCCAAAGAAGTGTTTGTCTCTTTTTATTTGTGTATATAGAGTTCTATTTTCACTAGCTTTTTTCAAACAATCGTTGTTAGTTACTCTAGCCATCCACGGTATCTGTAACATTTGTCTCAGAAACCACATCTCTGTTGCTTCCAAATTATTCTTATTTTCTTCACTGACATTCCGAGATTTGCTGCCATACAGCAGAACAGTTATCTGTAACATTTTAGCACTCTCTTCAGCAAATCTGTAACATTTTAGCACCCTCTTCAGCAAATTTGTAAGATTTTAGCACTATCTTCAGCAAATTTGTAAGATTTTAGCACTCTCTTCAGCAAATCTGTAACATTTTAGCACTCTCTTCAGCAAATCTGTAACATTTTAGCACTCTCTTCAGCAAATCTGTAACATTTTAGCACTCTCTTCAGCAAATCTGGAACATTTTAGCACTCTCTTCAGCAAATCTGTAACATTTTAGCACCCTCTTCAGCAAATTTGTAAGATTTTAGCACTATCTTCAGCAAATTTGTAAGATTTTAGCACTCTCTTCAGCAAATCTGTAACATTTTAGCACTCTCTTCAGCAAATCTGTAACATTTTAGCACTCTCTTCAGCAAATCTGTAACATTTTAGCACTCTCTTCAGCAAATTTGTAAGATTTTAGCACTATCTTCAGCAAATCTGTAACATTTTAGCACCCTCTTCAGCAAATTTGTAAGATTTTAGCACTATCTTCAGCAAATCTGTAACATTTTAGCACTCTCTTCAGCAAATTTGTAAGATTTTAGCACTCTCTTCAGCAAATCTGTAATATTTTAGCACTCTCTTCAGCAAATCTGGAACATTTTAGCACTCTCTTCAGTAAATCTGTAACATTTTAGCGCTCTCTTCAGCAAATCTGTAACATTTTAGCACCCTCTTCAGCCAAAAATTCCAGACAATAAATTGTGCAATGTATTTTTTGTGTCCCCCTTTTTTTTCTGAAAGCTTCAGAACAGGGCCATTTAGTTAAGTTTATTTAAGGACCAGAGAATCAACATGGGCCACAACCTTAAGCTGCAGCATATGAAGATCATTAAAACTGGCAGGTGATCCACGTGTCACTTGCTTGGCCTCCGCAGCCCAGATTTGGCCCATGGGCCACTAGTTGAATATCCCTGCTTGAGGGTCTGCCAAAGACTGACCTATATCTGTCCCCAAGGGTGGTTCCACCGTCATGTTGAGGTTACACATGTGTCCCTGGCAGCACTTGAAGTAGCCTGCCTCAGCATTGGAGTGACAGCTCATCAATGATTGCTCCACAGACAGGAAACAGCCTCGAGTTAGCAACCCTGTTAGTCTGTTCTTCAAGATGTAACACTGAAAAAAAAAAAAGAAATATGTCAGGCTACAACAGATGAACAGAGACAGTATCCTTATCTCCTACTGTCCGACAGAAAGGTTCAAATATCCGCCACCACTTGCCCCACTCCTCGCAGTGTTAGGACCAAATATGTCAGGCTACAACAGATGAACAGAGACAATGCCCTCATTTCCTACTGTCTGACAGGAAAGTTCAAAATTCCCCTACCACTTGCCCTACTCCTCGCAGTGTTAGGACCAAATATGTCAGGCTACAACAGATGAACAGAGACAATGTCTATATCTCCTACTGTTTGACAGAAAAGTTCAAATTTCCCCTCCCACTTGCCCCACTCCTCGCAGTGTTAGGACCAAATATGTCAGGCTACAACAGATGAACAGAGACAATGTCCACATCTTCTGTCTGACAGAAAGGTTCAAATATCAGCCACCACTAGCCCCACTCTTCGCAGTGTTAGGACCAAATGTGGAAGCCAGGCCTGATACACACATTACTAATACTCATGTTAACTGTCCATATGCAACCTCTTTAAAGGTGTCTAAGGTGTGGTTTGGTTTATACAATGGATCAACATCACGGCACAAGGATAGTAACCCAGAAGTGCTCCGTTCTACTTCTAACTCAAGCCTGAGTCCAAAGAATTTCAGCACACTGCACGAACTCCATTGCACCGGGGAGGATCCTGAAATACTTTGGGTAGATTTTTAACTCAAAATTTTGCCAGGGCAGAGCCATTAGGCTTCTCTTTTCAATTTCCAACTGCCAACGGATTTTTTATGCATGCAACAATACACATGGGCATCTATTCTTACTACCTAGAAACCAGGAAAAATTTATGGAAGTCCATGTGAAAAATCCTAGCCTTCACGGGGGCCTGAACCTGGGACCTCCTGCACTCGAGGCACAAACACCACACTGCAAGACCACTCAGCTCCCCCCCCCCCCCCCAGGTGTTGAAGGAAACTGCACACATTTGTGGGGTCTTTAGAGTTCCAGACCTGCAGGCTGCTCCCCGTTAATCTCCAAAGGCCACAGTCTGTGATGAGTGAGAAGCTCAATATTTGGATGTAAGATTAATCTGTCATATGCAGGACGTGATGATTACTTAAGTGAGCCCAGGATTAGTGTCATATGTGGACGCTTCCTTGAATGGCAGTTTGTCTCTTCTTACCTGAGAGGGCCAACCACTCCACACACCAATTGGATTAAAGCATATCTACATAACAGAAGAGCCTGGGTACAGGTAGATGGTTTTAAAAGTAAAAAAGTTCTACTGCGACAAGGCGTCCCTCAAGGTGGTGTCCTGTCGCCCACACTTTTCCTTTTATTTATCAACGATCTGGTTGCTGAGATACCAAATGGAATCAAAATGGCAATGTATGCCGACGACCTGGTACTGTGGTGCACCAATGAACATGCAACGATAGCCACAAAAACACTACAGCGGGCTACAAATGCACTTGAGGCATGGGCCAATAGATGGTGTGTCAGCATCAACACAGACAAATGTAGCACCACACTATTCACCCTCTCCCCAAAGCAAAAAGCTGGCACCATCAAAATAAACGAAATACCCTTGAGAGATGATAAAGAACCCACGTACCTAGGAGTCACATTTGATGACAGGTTGACATGGAGAAAACATATCAACAAGGCAGCAACCAAAGCCAGGAGGAAGACAGCAATTCTAAGAAAACTAAGTGGAACCACATGGGAACCAGTGGGAAAATACTCAATAAAGTATACAAGCAGAGCATACTTCCACACTTGGAATATGGGTCAACTGCATGGTGTTCAGCATCTAGTACCACATTAAAGGAGTTAGACAAAGTGCAAAATCAAGCGCTCATCACAGAAGGGATGAAATCAACCCCCATATTAGAAATGGAGAAAGCTGGGAAAACACAGGCACTGAGAGAACGCAGAGATACAAAGTTGCAAATACAAGCTGAAAAGTTCCTCTGTATGCCAGATCACCCGATGGAAAATAGATTTAAGAACCTAGCCTTGGGACGGTTAAAAAGAAGCAGCTTTATACACCAAGCAAAAAGAATATGTAGACAAACTTCTGACCTTCCAGAAATTGGCTGCCCACTTAAAAGTAATCCGGAACAAACCCCATGGAGAGAAAAATGTAAACTAATGGTACAAATCCAGACAAATGTGAAAGGGATATTTGACAAGAAAGAGCAAGATAGTGTACAACGCAAAATGGCCACCCTCAGTTATATTGATGAAGAATACCCACAAGAACAATGGGTCAGAGTCTATACAGATGGGTCCGCAGAAAGTGCAGTTAGAAATGGTGGTGCTGGAGTGTACATCGAATTCCCAGATGGTACTAGGGATAAGTCCAGCGTACCAACCGGGAAGTACTGCCATAACTACGATGCAGAAACCCAGGCTATCATGATAGCTACAGAGAAACTGCTAAATACCAACCTTGGCTCACAGTATGTGGTAATGCTTACAGATGCTAAATCAGTACTTGAAGCACTCCAGTCTAGGAAACTACCAGAATTGCAAACACTGCTGACACAACTCAGCGTTCAGCGAAGAGTCGTAATGCAGTGGATACCGTCTCATTGTGGAGTGCCTGGAAATGAGAAAGCTGATCAACTGGCAGGGGAAGGTGCGACAAAAGAGCAGCCAGATGTACCAGTCACATACCACCAAAAGAAAAGAATCATTAAATCGATCAGGAAACCACCAGTCCCAGCACAAGACGACTATTTTATTATGGACAGACCAGAACAAGTCATTATCCTCCGCCTCAGAACAGGGCACAACCGATTACGTAACCACATGTAAACAAAATTCAAGATAGGTGTATCAGCCATGTGCACCTGTGGAAATGTGCCCCAGACCGCAGAGCATGTACTCCAGGACTGCACCGATTTTGACACATTAAGGCAAACCTTTTGGCCAGAAAGAACAGTGGAACGTAAACTCTATGGACCACTGAATGAACTAACAACGACAGTGAAATTTATACGAGACAAAACTGCTGATATAGATAACTTTTTTCAGGCGAACGAAAGAAGAAGAAGAAGAACTCCATACCTAGTTGCCTGGATGGTTTTTTTTAAGGGGCAACCTTTATAGATAAATGGACAAAGAAGACATAACACAGAAAAGCCTAGAAGAAGAAAGCTTGGGGTAGATGGTATATTTAACACTAAGGTATGCTGTATAAGACTGGAGGTCACTGTGGCAGACTACAGACATTGATGCTCTTCCTTCAAACTGACAGAAAATGTTTCAGAAAGAAAACATAGAAAATTGTCAGTAATTAAGACACACACACAAACCACATTTTAACTTACTTTCCCCAGAGTGTTACAAACTGTCCTGCCATCGCAGGCTGGGTCACATGAACAGCTGTACACAGGCTCCATCAAGTCTGCTGTGACATTCTTGGTAGGCTCTGCATGGCTCACTGTGAAATACAGAACAGGAAACACACTATGAATTCTAAAGTCCAAGACAAGAACAGCTTGTCTTCCTGTGATAAAAACAGGGCTGAAAGCAGTCAAGCTAGCAACAGCTCATCTGGCTGTGATAAAAACAGGGCTGAAAGCAGTCAAGCTAGCAACAGCTCATCTGACTGTTATAAAAACAGGGCTGAAAGCAGTCAAGCTAGCAACAGCTCATCTGACTGTTATAAAAACAGGGCTGAAAGTAGTCAAGCTAGCAACAGCTCATCTGGCTGTGATGAAAACAGAGCTTACCGCAGGGCCAAGCTAGTTTCACACAAAGAATTCAGTGAACTGTCTATTCCCACATTTTATGTTCAATGACTGCTCTATGTGGGTGTTAGTGCCCTGAACTTGCTTTCTTCTAGTGGTCCTGGTTGATAAAGGCTTCAGTCAAAACATGTGTTTCTGTGTAAGTTTTTATCTCCCTATCCCCCACATTTTTAGGGGGGGGGGGGGGGGGTTAAGTATAGAGAAAATATGTGGCGTAAACCATCTGGCACGGTACTATGGATATCACAACCCTTCGGCCTTGATTCCATGATAGATACATAAATCTGGGAGAAATTTGGCATTTCTGCCCCCCCCCCCCCCCCCCCCCGAAATGTTCAAGTATTTGTAGGTCTATCTGTAATTTATCATTCTTGGTCTGTCTCGCGATCTACTTCCATTCAACTCCTTTGGGTATACAGTTTTCATCTATACGTCCATGCCACTGAAATCTATCAATTAGCCAGCGTGATGTAATTAGTAATTAGTGGTGTTTTACATAACTTGTAACGCTTAATGAATTGTTCTTGTTTTGCTTATTAATCACCACCGATCACATGCCTGCATTTGCACTATCTACTGGGCACAGGTTATACATAACTATAACTTGGTTTGGTTTAATTCAAGAAATCACAGCACACAGGGCATTCCCATAAGCGCTCAGTCCCCATCTTTAGCAGCCAGCGAAGAGTTTCGATACTAATAGTGCAAGTAGCAGAACCTCTCATCACTCCTAGCTGACATAACTATAACTGTATCTTTACAAGCAAGCCACGTAAAAAAAAATAAAGTGCACTTTCCGAACCGAAACTTTTCACGTGTGCTTTAAAAAAAAACAGCAACATAGAAATTAAGCCAACAGACAAACCCACATCGCAGCTCGCTTTGGGAAACCATTTCTATGCTCTCTCTCTCTCTTGTTAATCTTCTCAGCATTCGTGAGGAATTATCACAAGTTTTACAATTGCCGGGGACACGATCCGTCAGACTGGCGCCGCAAGTCCTCAAAACGCGTTCATTGAAACGATAACAATGGCGACATATGTATCTCGTGGTTCCTTCACAACTGTCGTACAACTGCGCTAGGGGAGCCGAGAATCGACAAACGTTTGATGCATCTCCACGCAGGGTGCAATTAAAATGTAAAACAGCGTTGTCCAAATGTTGTGGGGAGATGCCTTCAGTTTTCTATTGACACAGGTCACGGCCGTCCAAAAGGAAAATGTGCGCGCCGTAAAAACACTTCTTCA